TCTAAGGTGTTGTTTCTGCAATGAAAATTGAGATTTAACACTAGTTCAAGAAGTATTAAACATAGGGAGTACACTCACGAAAGTAGAGGTGCACTTATGTGGTTTTTAGTGATTCATTTCATGTAATTTCACTGAATAAATGAACTTGTAACTAATTTCATAACCATGAAAATAGGTATGGATTAGTTATGAGTATAGTTGATTCACTACGAAAGTAGGTTTCACATGTTTAAGGAAATTACACCATAACTAGCCTAGATAGTAGTATTCAATGATCCAAAAATAGCAATTGCATGAGTAGTTAGGGATACCACAACCTAAGGAGTTTTTATTTGTCATTTTGTATAATTTCAGTAGGTTAAATTTGTTATAATTCATTGATAGTCTAAATAATAGAAAAGTTTTAGTAATACCGGTAATTGTTCACTCTTCCCTGTGAGATCGACCCGATATATACCCTAAACTATTAGTTGACCTGTATACTTGCAGTGAACGGGTGTAATTCAGTTTTTTTTTTTAACTTGTACATATGTAAAATACCCGTCAAGGAAATTAATAATAATAATGAATAATTATAAATTATAAGTAAATATAGTAAGATAGTAGTCAAGATAATAAACATGATTATGAATAATTATTTTATTTTAAATTAAGAAACTTTACAAAAAGGAGAACTTTTCGAATTAAGAAACTTTTTAAAAATAGAAACTTTCCAATTTAGGAAACTTTTCAAAAATAAAAATCGTTCAATTTAGGAAAAGGCTGCTAGGGTTCATATAATGGTTTAGACATGAATCTTCGACTCGTTTAGAGTTTGTATATTTATGCATCTATAGGAAATAACAACTAATTAGGAAGTTTATGCATTTGATAGGTACGATACAAGGATCTAAGGTAGTTCCACTCGAGCAACCAAACAGAGGTAGGTGGTACTTACCCTTCTGAGATTTCAAATGTGCAAAGTGAAATTCTTGTTTTCAATCCTATTTTGTTGTGGTGACTCGAAAGGTGTTTGATTAAATGCTTTGCTTGGATATTTATGAAAGTTATATTTTACTATACAAAAATGGACCATATGACTTATTTGAAATGTTTTGATATGTTTCTTATATACAAAATGAGTTGAATCTTTTATGAAAGCAAAGAGTTATGTATACGGTATATGAGATGAATTTTGACAAGTAAAGGTCAGAGCAGTCATGGAATAGACGGTAGGGGCTACAGTCCTGTCTAATCGCCATGGTAGTCTGGTATAAAATCCGGCCGATTGGTGAGGTCATGGTAGCCTGGTATAAAACCCAGCCAATTGACCGATTGACAAAGTCATGGTAGTCTGGTATGAAGTCCAGCCGATTGACAAGGTCAGGGTAACCTGGTATAAAGTCTGGCCGATTGACCCATGTATGAAATGAGATCAATCGGTAGTCATGAAACCTATTGGTCGCCCACTAGAAGGGGTAAAATCTCTAGGCTGAATACTCAGTAGTCGGTCAATGCATGTACTTGTTATGAGTTGAACTGAAAGAAGGTTTATGAACGGTATGAAATGATTTATGAACTGTTTTAAAATGATCTATGAACGGATATGCGACATTTTATGGGATGATTCATGAATGGATATGAAGAGACTTGTGAATTGTTGCAAAGTGATTTATGACATTGCAATTTCTCATGTATGGTTGTCAATAAAGTGCTTTTAAATTCCTTGTCATTCTTTACTGCTGATTGTTTTATAAATGTCGTTACTTTCAAAATTATAGAGGTGATTTATGTGCAAAGGATTTGATATGTATCTATAAAGTTACGAATACATGGTCCAACAGAGGGGTAGATATTACCTATTGGGTGATTTGTCGTTCAACCCACTTTTTACCATTTTGCAGATTCTAAGGAGTATGAATTGGTTTACGTAGAAGACCCTGAGAATGACTTCTATTAGTTTAGAAGTTGGTAGGCTAGCTACTCTAGTTGTTAGCTTCATTTACTTTTGTTTCTATGGTTTCAATTAGAAAATAAATGTACGAACGTCTTGAGTATTCGTAGACTACCTTTTATATGATATGTCTACCCCACTTTGTTTAATTATATTATATTGTTTTAATACTTGTAAAAGTAGTTTAGTTAATGTAGTCTTGTATTCTTGAGTGGGACTTGGGAATACGGCGAATGTCACGTGATGGGCGCGTGTGGGCTCGGGACGTGACAAAAAATATAAATGCGATTGGAATATTACTAATTGTTGAAAAAATTGTGAAAATTCGTGGTGGTCATTTGTGCTAGCTCTTTTTTCATGACACGAAAACTCCAATATTACAAAAGAGTTTACTATTTAATCAGGCAGGTAAACATCTGAGCTTTCTTATTTGTATAGAAAATATCAATTATGCTGAAAAATGAAAGGGTCTAAAAAATGTCCCAAGAATTCTTAATTGAACTGTAAATGATGATTGCTAAATTCCTTCTTCCTAATTGATACTCAAAAAATCAAAATAATTTCAGTTCACAATAGCTTACCCAAACAAAGAAAAAGAAAAGTAAAAGTTTTTAGTTCACAACTATGACGTGCGATGTTCGTACGCTTCTTCTTGGGTGTCCTAAACAAGAGAATATTTTACTTCTTGATTTTTATTTTGGATAATTACATCAAACAAATCAAGCGTATATAGCACCTTATAAAAAAGAACCAAAGATGTCATTCTATAAGACTGAGTCGCCAAAGTTGTCAAACTTTACCAAGTTTCATGATGGGTTACATAATTTGGTGCAACTTGAATTTTTTTTTATCATGTAGATCTTGGTTTCTCAGTGTTCTTGTGTGAAATTAATTTACTACCATGCTGAACCATTGAAATGCAATTTTTTTTCAAAAGAATTAGAATTTATTGTTTTGCAAACGTTGGTTCCTCAAATTTTCTTTAAATAAGATTAGTACCAAAACATGTTCCTAGCAAAATTTATCCTAATAAGATTATCGAGTTTCAATTTTTTTAATTTTAGTACAAGTCTGAAAGTTCTGAATAGGATAGAAACAATTACATATAAGTTAACAAAGAAAGTAGATTTAAAAGTTTAAGTAAACAGGAAAATAGTTCGCTGCTAAAAGCAGGATTGGCAAGGTACAGCACAAAAATCAGAATACTACAATTGAAAAACTGAAACAGAAAATAAAAAAGAATCAAATCCTACACCTTGATATACAGGATGTTAAAGGCAAAACAACCATCTTCGTGCATTAATAGGCAAAGGAAAATGGCAAGCATTAATCCTGCCAGATTCTGATCTATTTGAACAACATAACAACTGAAAATACATCAAATATTAGAAAAGAAGCAAATCCTACACCTTGATAAACAAAGGGTGCTAAAGATAACAAGGAAAAAACAACAAAACAAAACCAGTCGTGCATTAATGACGGAAAAAAAAGAGGAAAAAAAATGACAACCACTAATTAATAGCAGCCAAGGGATTTTGGTAACCTAGATCTAGAACCAGTTGAAACCACCATAGCCACTGCTGAATCCTTGAGAAGGTTGAGGAGGCATAGTTGCATTAGCAGGTTCTGAAAAATTTGGACTAAAAGAAACTGAAGTTTGGCCATTTTCCACAGCAAAAACCATTTTACATGCCACCGTTGATTGAACTGCCAGTATTTACTGGACCAGCCCCTGCGGTAAATGCCATGCTGCTTGATGGTTTAGATTGAAAAAGATCAAAAACACTAGGGCCGTTTTACCTAGCATTGATGCCAAATTGACTCATTCCATAAGGATTGAACCCATGGAGATTTGGATTTTGATTTCCATACTAGCTCACGTATTGTACTCTTCAATTGATCACTTTTAACATAATTTTAGCAGATTTCCCTATACTGGTTAAGGGTTTTCACTATTTTCTTTAGAGCCTCCAACTGATTTTCAAGGATTGTGAGTTCTTTGTTCAGATATTGAACATTAAGCTTGTGATGAACCTCCAAAAGAAGGCATAGGTGATCAATTGATATAGCTGTTTGGGGATCAATTGATATAGGAGTTTGGGATTCAAATCTCTGAATACCGCATCAACGCTGCCAAAACAATTAACTTTTTCTCTAGAAGAGAAAACCACTAAGGTGATTTTTTGAACTATTAAGGCTGCAGATATCTCTAGCCTTTTAGAAAAAGTCACTTGTGGGTTTTGCTCATTTTGCATCTGCAACATATCAACCTTTTGGCGGTCTCTAGATTTTCTTCTCCAGGACTGTTGGCTAGTTTCGACTTTGGATTCTAAGGATGGATAGGATTGAAACAAAGATGGGTAGACTGGCGCTTCCTAAGTCTAAGAATGGGGTGGAATTCCTTTATGATTGGTGTGGTTGTTTTTTGTCTTGACAAATGATAACTAATATGACTAAGAACAAATGGAGAGTCAAATTAAAGTAGAATAATTTTTGCTGTAAGAGTACTTGAATTTAATCACTAATTCAAGATTATATTTTAACTTTTTTAATCTCATGAGTTATGAGCTCAGTAGGATGAGAATGAAATTCCCAAGTGAAAGTAAATGAGCTAATATTTGTCATAGTAACTATGGAATTTATATCAACATATAAACAGAATGATAAAGAGTGAAGAAGCTGAAGATATATGCATTGTTAGACCTAAACTGCTGAGGATCAAACTACTCAATTGGTCGCACGATGTCCGCACTTTGAATGTTATCAAGAGAAGCAGTTTCTTTTTTCTTTTTTCTTTCATTGTATTAAAATTGCACTAGGGCAGCATGCCATAACAATAGAATAGGGAAAATTAAGGAAATAACTTTTGAATTATGTCATAGGCAAGTTAATTACAATGAAAGTTTATTGGCTGAGGGCAAGAAAGGAAAAGACTAGAATTTTTAAACCAATGTCAATCTTGTACATCAGTCTTTTTTTTTTTTTGTCGAAACGATAGGAAATTTCATTATCTAGAAACCATTGTACATGTACGAGCAACGGCTCGAAGTAACTGCACAAAAACTGTTCAGCGAACACTGAGGAAATATCTTTCCTCATCCACAATTATGCTTAAAGCATCTGCACTCAGTAGTCTACTGTCTAACATATTTTCCTCACTTTCCAAGCCAAAAGAGCACATACAAAACAGTCTCTTCAGACTTAGAATATCCTCCAGCAATGTAGCCATCTTACTATCTGTTGGCCGTTGCTGTGTTAGCTGTTTCCATAGTTCTTTGTTGCAGAAATTGAGACGTACCTCCCTCCACTGCTGTTGAACAGCTTTGCATAGAACCAATTTTACTGCCAGAGCTGCGTCTAATATGTTGTTCCCCAAACTTCTCTCTGTCAGCATCCAATCTGCAATTTTAGAGTTTGCCACATTCTTTACTGTGACTCCTATGCCAAAAACGTTTTGCCCTTGTTTCTTTACTGTTGCCACTCGTATGATTAAGGCCCCTTCATTTCCATTGCTCTGTCCTTGGAGATCATTGGTATGTACTGTTTCTTCTGCACTCTTTTTATCCCCCTGCTGATGTTCAGCCCCTTGTTCCATCCATTCTTTGTGCGCCCGTTCTACTAATCTCAATGGAGCTAATCTACTTGAGTTCTCATATTCCCTCTTGTTCCTATCTTTCCATACCTGCCATAATATGTTTGCTGTCAAGCCAATATGCTCCTTACCTTCCTGTCTAGTTCTTGCTTCTGTAACTCTCGTCCACCATCTCATGAAATCACCCCTCTGATCATTTGCTCCATTCCACTGTATGGGGGCTGATTTCCATACTTCCAGTGCATGTGGACAGTTGAGTAGCATATGTTCTATGGTTTCTGGAGCTTCACCGCAGGTTGAGCAGATAGGGTCCCCTATTCCTGTTCGCTTTCTCACTGCCTCCCTGACTGGTACTGCTCGTTTAATGCACTTCCAGATGAAATGCTTGATTTTATGCTTGATGTTGAGCTTCCATAAAGTATTCCACATCTGAACCATTTGCTGGCTTCCTTCTGAGATGCTTGTTCCAGCTCCCTCCTGATTGCACCTTCTTCTGCTCATGCTTTTTTCCATCAACAGCTTGTATCCTGAGTCGACTGTGTATTCCCCTCCAGCTTTTGGTTTCCAGTAGAAGCTATCTTCCTTCCCTGATAAGCTTAGGGGGATACGGAGAATCTGCTCAGCGTCTTCTTTGTTGAAGTATCTGAAGATAACATTTCTGTTCCATCTCTGCTGGCAAATTAACTCATCAACCATCTTTAACTCACAGTTACTTGTTCTGCATGTTGAAAGCTTCCCCGTAGGTGTCTCTGGTAACCATTTATGGTCCCAGATTTTCGTGTTTCTACCATTTCCAATCCTCCTAATCAGGCCTTCCTCTATTAAGCTTCTTGCTCCCAGCAATCCTTGCCAAATCCATGATGCATTTTTAGGGAGGGTGCATTGTAGTATGGATTCCTGAGGGAAATACTTGGATTTTAAAACCTTGCTGACCAGGAGATTTGGGCTGGTTAATATTCTCCATAACTGCTTACCCAAAAGTGCTTTGTTGAAAGCTTCCAGATCCTTGAACCCAAGGCCGCCTATGTTCTTGTGTACTACCATTTTGTCCCAAGAGATCCAGTGCATGTTGTTCCTTCCCTCAGATCCACCCCACCAGAAATTGGACATCATGGTGCTAATTTCTTTGTAGAGTGATCTGGGCAGCTTAAAGCAAGACATAACGTACGTAGGCATGGCCATTGCAACTGCCTTCAGCATGACCTCTTTTCCAGCTAAGCTCAAAAATTTATTTTTCCAATTCTGAAGCTTGCACTTGATGTTTTCTCTAATAAAACCAAAAATCTGATTCTTTGTTCTGGAAATCACCATAGGAAGACCCAAGTACTTACCTTGCTTAGCTTCCACCATCCCTCCCAAGGCTTGGCAGATCATTCCTCTTTGTACCTCTTCCAGATTTTTACTAAAGAAAACTGCAGATTTGTCGAAGTTGATCAGCTGTCCTGAGGCTCCTTCATAGACTTTTAAGACTTTCATCAATTCAGCTGCCTCTTCCTTATTTGCTTTGCAAAAGATAAGCGAATCATCAGCAAAGAAAAGATGGGTAAGTTGAGGACCTTGCCTGCTGATTTTCAAGCCTGTGATCCTCTTGCTTTCTTCAGCTTGCCTTAACAGATTGGAGAATCCCTCAGAACATATTAAAAACAGGTATGGTGACAATGGATCTCCTTGACGAATACCTCTCCCTGGTGAAACATAACCTTTCACTTCTCCATTACAATTGAAGGAATAACTGACTGTTGTTAGGCAGCCAGTTATCCATTCAATCCATTTAGTACAGAAGCCCATTTTGCTCATCATAGCCAGCAAAAATTGCCACTCCACCCTATCATAAGCCTTTGCCATGTCAAGCTTAACGGCCATGTATCCATTTTTCCCCTGTCTTTTGTTTTTCAAGTAATGCATGTATTCATGAGCAACCATTACATTATCTAAGATTTGTCTACCTGGGATAAAAGCTGATTGAGTCTTGCTAATGCACTTGTGCAGGACAACCTTTAGTCTATTAGCCAAGATTTTTGAAATGATTTTATAAAGCACACTACAAAGACTGATAGGCCTGAAATGCTTTAAGCTGATAGGATTCTGGATTTTGGGTATCAGAGATATGACTGTATGGTTGATAGATTTGAGCATGAAGCCTGAAGTGAAGAAAGCTTGGATCGCTGGGATAATGTCTTTTTTGATGATGCTCCAAAATCTCTGGAAAAATAGAGGGGTCATCCCATCTTGTCCTGGAGATTTTTCGGAATTCATGGAAAAGAGAGCATCATGAATTTCTTTTTCCTCAACTACCTTAGTCAGATTATTATTCATATCCTGAGTAATGGAGTTAGGAATACCATCTAGAATATCAGACATGTCACCTCTCCCACCACTACTAAAAAGATCCTTAAAGTAATCAGAAATTTCCTTCACGACCTCATCCTCACTGCTAGTCCAAGAGCTATCATTACGCTGCAAGTTTCTGATTCTATTGTGCACTCTTCTACCCTTGACATAGGTGTGAAAAAACTTGGTATTTTTATCCCCCTCCCTAAGCCAACTAATTCTCGACTTTTGTCTCCAAAAATGCTCTTCCTCCTTATAAGCTGTGCTCAGCTTATCTTTAATGTCATTCATATTTTGCCACCTGTTATCACCAATCTTGTACATCAGTCAACTTGTAGAATTTTTCCATTGTTTTTCATTACTTTTTTCTATCCTAAGTTTTTGATAAATGTCAATGTTGATTAGAGTAATAAAATCGATGGATAAAAATGGAGATCCTTAAGTTGATAGTGAGAGATATATAAGCCTCTAGGGTGTAATATTTTTCACATTTCTCCATTTTTTAGTATCAGTGCAAATATATTACTATTTAATTTCAGGCAGCTCCTAAATTCCATGATTTTAGGTGGTTATTACGAGAACTACCCTTACTTTGAATTACTTAATTTTTTCCATTTATTCTAATTTCTTATTACTTTTATCTCTAAAATATGGTATCTGAAACTAAATTGAAAATAATGAAATTTGAAAAAATTTAAATCCTACTATAAACTAGTTAGTGTCATATACAATAAAAACATTTAGTTATAGAATATTAAAAGATATTGGATAACAACACAAAATTCTTAACTAGACCAGTTGAAGATATATCCATGCCTGGGTCTAATGTCCTTGAGATTGCAAGTTAAATAGAGGAATGCATGGAGTTTGTGTAGCAAAGGGCAAAGGGTGGGGCAATTGTCAAATACAAGTATCCAAATAATGTATGATCACTATTTGGCAAAATATTGTAAAATTTGATATGTACAAATGATTGTGAAAACTAATTAAAAACTAGAATTTTGTTCCTGCCTTAGCACGGTCTTTTTTTTATTTATTGTGAATTTATACAAATATGAATAATTTAAATATGAAAAATAACAACAATCCTACATGTTCATTTATATTAACTTTAAAAAATTAATGTATTCTAAATGTTTAATTATTTACTAATTTTTAAAAATTTGTTTACATGCTTTCACTATAATATGATAGTATACATCAAATAATGTATCAAATATCAAAATTTTGATAAATATTCTTTTAGATAATTTAAATTTTTATAATGACCACAAACCTAGAACTATATATTCACATTTAATTAAGTAGAAAAGAACCAGCAATCTGCTTTTTTTCATCAATAAATATTTATTTTCCAACAATATTGGTAATTCTGTTGGTGTAACAATTAATTTCCTTTTTTACACTAAGTTAATTCAAAATTAAGTAAAGAGATGATGAATAATTTAAATAATAATCAACGATATGGTGATGAAAGTAAGTAATTTATGGAATATGTAAGATTTTAATAATTGTAAGGGTTAAAAACAAAAAACCTCCTATGGTATAACCATCATACAGAAAAGCCCCTTGTGATTTCATATCATACGCGTCGATACTCCATGGTTTGAATTATTCTGAAAAGTCGACGGAAATCGTCAAATTTACGGCGTTTGTCTTAAACGCACTGGAAAGGCGCGTGTTTCTTGCGGAAAATAGATTTCTACCACAAACTTTCACTTGATATGCCTACTTTACCCTTCACCATTTAATGAAAAGAGAACTTGTTCTGGTCTTCGGCTTCGGCCAAAATTGAAGGACACAGAGCAGTTCTCAAGCCAGCATTCGAAGCCTGTGAAAAATTGTAAGTAATCAATCAACAAGAGGTTGCAAGCCAGCAAAGGAAACGGAAAGTGCAGCAACCAGCGGGGGAAAATATATCTGCTTATATTTTGTTTGTAAATATTGAAGGGAAAGTGCAGAAAGTGGTCGAGGATGTCTTTCTCAAGCTCACTTGGGATCAGATCAAAGTTCTTTCTGTTTGGGATTTGCCCACTGCTTCTGATTGATCCTCTGTCCAATGCAGCCTTGGTTTGTAATACCATGGCTGCAAAGAACCCTGATAGGATCCAGTGTTTGTCAGGAAAGTTTGATAACCCTCTTATCCACTTGACAACTAACAGTGTAGCAACCTACAATAAACCAAAAATGTTGAACATGTTGAAACTAGTAATCAAGTCCAGCACTGGGAAGGCAGCTCAGTGAGTTGAATTTGAGCTGAAATAAAGCAGACTTAAAGACCCTGCCTAAGCCTCCTTGTTCAGTTGGATGGACAAATAGCCCAGGATGGGAGCCATGTGAAGCCACCAAGCAAAGCTCTGCCATTCCTCAGAAACACCCACAGTATTCGGGAACCCTTCTTCTTCTCTTTCCAATAGCTTTTGATATCAAAGTCTCTGCCTTTTTGCTTTGGATTGCTCTGTCCCTCCCTATCTTGGACTCATCCTCCCTCGCACCTCAAAATTACTTTTGCAATTTTCGCTTATATCAAAAGGGTATTTTTATCTTTTCACTCTGCTCCGTCTGTTTTAACGATTTCCGTTGACTTTTTAGAATAATTCAAATCATAGAGTACCGATGCGTATGATATGAAATCACAGAGGGCTTTTATATATGATAGTTATACCACAGGGGATTTTTATGTTGTTAACCCTAATTGTAATTACGATATGTCGTGGCTTTACTATAGTTCTATGTAATAGTTTGATAGAAAACAGATATCATTAAGATAAGATTAGTTTTTTTAAAAAGTCATTTTAGATATCACTAAGATAAGATTAGTTATTTTTTAAATTTATTTTAAAATTAGGGATAATTTTTAAACATATAATATAATATTCAATATGGATAAAATCCAAATGACCTATAATTCATTAATTGTCTTCAATTAGGCATGCCACATAGGAATGAGAAACTTTCTAATTAAAATAGTTACTTTCATATATATATATATATATATATATATATATATATATATATATATATATATATATATATAACATTTCTGTTATAAAAATATATAAATTAGTTTGCTGTGAAACCATCTAGAAACTATTGTATCGATAGTTTCAACATTCAACAACCGTTTCTGCCTTTCCTATAAGCAGTAATATGATTGGCAATTGACGATGCATTGGGCTGCAAATGGGCATTTAAAAAAAGTGTTTTGTTTCGACATATTTAACCATCTCAAAATACAGAAAATCATTGACGTTTAACATAAAGTTCTTGCAAATACTCTTGAATTGATAAATCAACCTCAAAAATGACATTGTAATGAAAAAATTGAATTACTTTGAGAATAATTAAATTTAATCAATATTGTATAGAAATTCTTGTACCAATCTGAAAATTAAGCTCAATGGTTGTATTAGATTAAATTCATCACAAACAACAGAGTACAAAAACAGTACACCCATGCCCTGGCAAACAAGATACACACGTGAATTAAGCAAATTACAAAAAAGTAGACTTCCACACATACTAAGATGAAAAATACAAATGAGTACATTAGAACAAAGACACAAACTAAAAACAAGTTAGAAACACACTAAAATGGAAAAGAAAACAAAGACACATGCTGAGAACAAAGACATAAACAAGTACATTAGGCCACTCTTGTTTTTTAAAAGCCAGGTTAGCTTGTCAATATTACTCTAAACATATGTTATTCACTTAATTAGCACGAATTAGCTATTTTTGCCTTCTAATCATTGGACTCAACAAGCACATCATCATGAGAGTCATTAATTATCATTTCCAACATCAACATTATATTGAGAGAGGGCGATCATTGCTTGCATTAGGGTGAAGCCCTACATTTCTACACTTACTAGCATGATCTTGTGGGAAAGGGTGACCATTGGTGAAGTGGAGTGATCCAACTATGTGCCCATCGTAACTCCTTTCCTCATTGATTTTTCAGAGAGGAACGAGCTGAGAGGATGTGATGTACGAGATGCTCCATGCCATTTCTTTTCAACTTCTTTGCTACTTGATTTCTTAGCCAACTCTTCTCCGCTACCAAAAAAAAAAAAATTCCCTATGGGTTATCAGTTTTGATATTTCGAGCTATAATACGTATTTTATTGATCCATCATTGTGGATTACTTGTCATCATGTAGTTTACAGAACAAAATTATTTACAAAATAAAATTGGTCTACCAAGATTTCATGTTCAAATACATGGAACTCTCAAAAGATACGTAAAATGACATGTTTAAACTATTTAATATTGTTCTTGTATTGCAACAATTGCTAGAATAAGAAGGCTCCATTGAACTGCTATCAAGTGCGACATTCGTGTACATGTTTCTATAGCTCAAATTGAACCAGGTAATGCTCATTGGTTAGAGTTATCCAATATATAGTGACAAATTTGACCAATTTTTTTTAGGCAGTTAAGTGTTACTCTCTTTTTCTCTTCGCTTAAACGTGATTTTCAATTAATATTTTGTCTCCCTACTTAATATACATATTTAATTTCTTCACTAATTTTTTCTATCCTCTTCATATCTCAACAAATTACACAAACATTTATTTATGTCTCCATTTATGTCTTTGTAATGTGATTTTTCTCATTTATCAGGACAATTTTTTCCTTTGTCCTTATATTCTTTCTACACATTAATAAACTTTATTTGTATGATATTTTCATCTTAATAAAGTTAAGATGTGTTCAAAATTAATTTACATGAGCCTATCATTTTATTGACACAAAGTTACTTATTTGATTGGAATAAAAGATCTACAAACACTCCAGTTTAGGTAAATTAAGTAATATATAAAATATTCATGACATCATGGGCCAATTATAATTAATCATGGTCAATCCAACTATTGAATCTGTAATTAATCCTTGACCAATCAATCTTCTGAGCCAACGAAATAAACGATTTGAGTTTCAAAACCTTGATTATAATTAATCGGGTCAATCCAACTATTGATTTTCGTGTTTCCAGCAAACTAGCATGTAAGCCCTCACTTAATCATTTAGTGGTCTTACAAACTCATATTTAAGGTGGGCATTGTATTGTGATAATGACCTTACATTCAATTATTTACTCAGATAATGTTACTCTAATTTATTCCTACCTTTATTTGTCTTAAAGAAAATTGCACCTCAGAATAAGAGAGGTCTTGTCAATTGTCCAATCCATCAATTTCAATCTTTAATTTTGTAGCATTTGCATATTCATCAATAAGGCCAAAACTTCTGCAGTTATTCCTGCTTAGTGCATCATCAATGTGTAGAGCAACTTCAATTTGTTAGAGAGGAAAACATAGAATTCCTATCTAAGAATAGATAATAATCATGTTATAGAATTCCTACCTAAGAATAGATAATAATCATGTTACCCTTTTCCAAGTTTTTCTTTCCCATCTTTTCAGCTATTACTTCATCTTTTAGAGACCCTACAATTAGTTTGGTTTCATCTCTGGCTCATTGAACAAGAAGCAAATGAAGCGAGCTTTCTCTATCTTTAGATTAGCATATATGGGGGATTATAGTGCTCTATTCGTGCTTCATTTTGGTAGCTCTATGAAGGATATTAATTTCTTTATGGCTAATAGCAGCCACCTTCAACATTTATAGTTGCATCAATGAACCAAAAATTTCTCAAAAATATGATACGTCAGTGAAGGTTATGCTATGGTTTACTAATGCAATTGTGCCACCAAAACTTGAGAATACTCGTTTGGATTTCATTTTCGTGTGCGAAAATAGAATTCCTAAAGATTGTACAGAGTACACTCTCAATAATGTCACATTGATACCATTCTTGTTGTTTCGATGTGAAAAAATTGCATCTCACAATTTCAAGTGATTTTCATATCTCTTTGACCACTAAACAATATTTGTAAGAGTAATTAATTTTACTAATTTACCTCATTCTCACATTTTGAATTCGTGTATTCAGTAGCCTAAACATAAGAAACTGGAATTTTTGGTTCCTAGTTAGATATATTATTGATGTTCATGAGTTACATTGGGTGAGAACAAACCAAAAAATCATTTGAAATAGATCAATGTTCAATTGGAGATTGAAAATCATACCGTTGATACAAAATATTTATAAATTTTATTTTTCGATATTTGATGTGTGTAACTACTATTAATTAACCTAGGAGTTACAAGTAGCCCAAACAAAGAAGGGAAAAAACTAATCTAACAAGATTTGTTTAATTAACTTGGGTAATCCTTGTCAACTCTTCCACCCATTTTTTTCCTCCAATGGAAAAAAAAAAGGGCTCTTTTATAAGGAAATAAAACTTTTCAAATGAAAAAATGGGGGAAAAAATCCAAGAAACTTTCGTTGGGCGCATTTAACATTTGTGCATAGTTGAGACCTCTTCTAAGTAGTTTCCCTCCCATATTAAATCTGCCCGCCTTTCTCAAATCTCCCAAAATTCTAGGGCTTCTGCCCATTTCAACGTCCTTCTCAAATCAAATCCGAAATTGAAACCACCAATGTCAGATAATTTGCCTGAAGAGCTATTGATCGAAATTCTCACACGGGTTCCTGTCAAATCCCTCCTTTGTTTCACCTTAGTATCCAAATCATGGTATGGTCTCATCACAAGCCCCAATTTCATCACCACTCATCTCACCAAAGTCCACACAGAAAAAATCCCCAATAGTCCCTCCCTTCTGCTCATCAGACGCTATACGAAGGACGACAAGAAGGAGCACTACACAATCAACCTAGATGATGAAGAAGATGGCCATGAAAATGGAGGAGGAAATGGCCAATTTGCCAAGAAATCAGTTGAGCTTGACTTCCCTTTCAAATCCTTAATTGGGTATTTCAGAATTGTGGGAACTTGCAATGGGTTGATTTGTTTGTCTGATGATTTGTTCGGTACCACAAAACCCATTATTTTGTGGAACCCTTCGGTTCGAAAATCAGTAACCTCTCCAGCTCCAACTATTAATCCTCCATTGCCGTATATGTTTGTTTTGGGATTTGGGGCTGATTCGAGCCAGGATTATAAAGTGGTCAGGATTGTTTATCACAGAGATGGGCAATTTGATTTTCTGCTCCCGCCTGAGGTTGAAGTTTATAGCCTTAGTATGGGATTTTGGAGGAGATTAATAAATGTTGGGATTAAGGTTTGCATTGCTGATTTCTTATGGTCACAAGCTTTTGTGAATGGTTCTGTGCACTGGATTGCTTATCATCCACGTAGAAGTGATAATGATAGTGGTTCATTTGGTAGTTTGATTTTGGGATTTGATATGGATAATGAAGTGTTCAATGAGATCATGCTGCCAGACGACTTGGCTCATGAGCTTGCTACGAATCTGTTTATATCTGTGTATAAGGGTTCTCTTGCTGTGATTAAGTATCCAAGGTGGGAGGATAATGGATCCTGTTCCGTTTGGGTTATGGAGGAATATGGAGTTTGGGAGTCATGGACTCAGTTGTATGCCATTGATTTAGTGCAAGGGATGGAAAAAGTTGTTGGATTTAGGAAGAATGGTGATGTTTTTGTGGCCAAGGAGAGCAAGGGGCTGGTTTTGTACAATCCTAAGACTGGTTTCACTGAGGATCTTGGAATATGGGGGAGCACTAGGTCGTTTTACATTTACAATTTTGAAGAGACACTCGTTTTGTTTGAAAGACAAAATGCAGTTGTTGAGGAGGAAGAGGAATTTGGTGATGCTCGTGCTTTTCAAGAAAATGGCGGAATTGACCTTGATGAAGAGCCTAGCAGAAATGAAGATTACTTTGATGCACAGGAAACGTAAGACATTTGTGTTTTGCTTTTCACATGCCAAACATATTTGTCATCTCCACAACCCTCATGTGTAGATGGTATTCTAGAACTTGATTTGCAGAATATAAACGTATTGTGTTTATCCTTTAATGCTTTCCAATCTAAATGTCAGTTTACATTCCTTTATGTTCTCAATTTTTTGAGGTGATGCTTTTTTCCAATTTCAACACAGTTGTGCCAGAAGTGATTGAAAATTTACATGAAGCCCTTATCTTAACAGAGTTTTTCTTTCTCTTAATGCATCCTAGATGAAACTTGGGAAAATATGTTAGAATCGGAATGCAGATATGATTCATGGGCACAACCATATTTCGTAGAGCGGCATTCTTTAATTGTAACTCACTGCCTATGAAATGTTTTGCATGAGCTGATAGGTAACACAGCTGCTGATTGTTACCTATCAGCTAATTTATAGTCCATCTGATCATGAAGGGTCATTATTGTACTTTTATCTTAAACTTACTGTTGCACAGACTCATTGGCAATAAACAGGTCAGGACATTAGCGTTTCCTGCTGTTGTTGGCATAGTTATCTTAAAGGTTCTCCAGCATCTTCTTTTGGATGTTTCTTCTTTTTTTTGGGAAGTTCTTCAACTGTGGACTTTAATCAGACTTCTTATCGTTGGATTTATTCCAAAGGAATTAGTGGTTGTTTTGCAAAATTTTGTTTCTTAGAGAAAACTAGTACCTTGCATTAATCTATTCTCCTTTTTTTTTGGCCTGTAAGCTTCTCCTTCCATTTTTAGAAAATAAAAGTTGCACATGTTCAAGGGGTCAAGACTGTGCTTTTGGGGTGAAAAGGGGATAGAGTTGTGGAAGTTTAAGTGGCTGTACAACTTGAAAATATGCAATGTTCTTCTGGCAGTTGCCATTTCAATTCCTATTTGTTGTATAACTCCTAGGTCTAGTTTTCCATTTGCAGTTTCAGTTGGGAAAAACTTGGATAATCTGTTATTCAAGCCTGTAAGATAGAGAGTAGCAAAGTAATACCTAAGGCAATTCATGCTAAAGTACCTCATATCTGCATGATGCGCCTGACTAATGCAATACTACTGTAAGTCACTTTGACATTATGTTTCTGTTTCCTTTCATTACGAATGCACATATTTTGTGTAGCTTAAGTGGCGTTTTACTGTCTTTCAGGGTTAGTTTTGCCTGCAGATTAGAAGTCCAATAATTCTTATCTTTTTTCTCCCCCAATACCTTGTGCACTGTTGTTCTAGTTTCCCTAGTTTACGTTTTATTGGTAAACATTCATATTTATATCTGATGACCAGTGGTCTTATTTCAGGATTACGGACGGATTGGCAAACTTTTATGTCTCTGGGCAAGGGAGGTACTAAGAAGATTGACAAGTGCAAATGTCTTTTCTGTGCTAATGTTGTCAATGTGGATAAACAACAGTGAGTTTTGGCATAATTCTGACTTGAATGTAGGTGGTGGGCTAGATTTGTTTCTCGAGGATCGCAGAAATGTAGTGAAGCATAGACTTTTCTGTTTGGTTACTTTTATTGTACCATAATTTTTCACTTGTTGCTTCTCTTCTCTTTTTGTTTCAAACAGTAAGATTATCTAGTTTGAATGGATGGATAGTCCAGTTTTATGTGGGCGTTTTTGCCAGAAACTTTCAAGCTTTCTGTTGCCTTGTGATGACTGATTGCCCCTCTCTTAGATATATTATTGTTAATAGATGAAACTTTTTGATCTTCACGTAAAGATGATTTTTGACGTTTGACATCAAATTTGTATTCTTTACTGGGACATAGCCCAAGTGAAATAGCCCCCAGCCAAAAAAAAAAAGAAATTTTTTTTTTTTTTTGTAACAGACGCATAAAACTTCTAATAACCCGTTCTTAAATCCAGTATAATCATTCACATTATAATAAGCAGTTCTGAAATCCATTGTAATCATTTGTAATTACTGCTCAAATATGCTCATAGTGACTCCAAGAAAATGCTATAATCAAAGTTCCAGATTAGACCAAATTGATCGAAGATTACATCTTAAAATATACACGAACCTAAAAGTCGGATACGAAAAAAAAAAAATTCGGCGCTTATAAAACTTCCAACATTTGATCACATATGCATTGGAAGGACGATTTGCTCTTACGGAGAAAGTAATCAATAATCTACTTTCAAAACTAGTAGTAGATTCTAAAACGGAGAGATTTGGAAAAAAAAAATTATTCATTTTTTAACTAAGCTAAAAGGTCCTTAGAATTGTAGAAGCGTACCAGCAGGGAATTGGAGAAGCCCGAATCAACATACTCCATCATAAACCAAACAGCAAACTAACTAAGAAAACCAATCCATAAAAAAAATATGCTCTTTTCGTTCCCTATCAGCATCAGTCACCTTATGCACGCCCTCTTTGACCACAAAAACAACAAAACCAAGCTCTAGATCATGCATTCCAGTTCATTACCATAGCCAATTCAGAACTTCCCCTAGTATAAACCAAAAATACACTGTTCTCTCAATAAATTTTCAAGCTTCTCTTCCAGTGCATATTGTTTCTCTTTCAACTATTCAAACCAAGCAATATATGAAATGCGGTTTAATTGTAATGAAAACCTTTGCAACAAAAACAGTGCTCTTGTCATTGCATCAACAGCCTTCTCTATCTGATTATCTTTGTAGTATAAGGTAGCCAGTTCATCCCATGTGCATGCAGGAACCTTCATTCCACTCTGCACAACTTTGTTCACAATTTCTTTGGCCTTTCCCAACAACCCCATTTTAACATAAGCATTAAATAACTTGCTAAAGATATCCAAGTATTCACAATTACAACTTAACTAAATTCTGAGCGAATATGCGTGCAAATGAAAAACTAAGTTGTATAAATGCTTTGCAGTTCAGACTCACTCAAGCCTTCCCTTCAGCCTGTCAGCTATTTACGATATCCCAGAGATTTAATCCTTCTACAGATATGCCACGAACACAAAACATCTTTCTCAAAATGTCTTACAATATAAACTATGGACAGACAAGCAATGAATCCATTAATCCCTGGACAACGTCCAGCTTAAGACCAAACTTCAGCCTTCCTCATGTCATATAAGACAAATCATCATTTAATTCAAGGCAAGAACGCTATAGTTTCAACAGTGAAATAACAAGAGCAGATCCCAATCTGAGCTAAATAATATTCTCGTGTCATACTTTACCAACCGTTCAGGCATTAGAAGTCTTGACCACATTGATAACTGCCGTTAACAAATTCAAACACCAAACGCTTCATTTTACATATGGCACTTGGAAGTATCCAAGGGTAACAGTACACTCTCTATTCACTAAACTATTCACTAAACCTGAGAATGGCCACAAATCAGTAACTGGATTACTAGTTTAGCACCAAATCAGTCTTGACAAAACATACATATCAAAACCATATAATACATAGCCCAAAGTTAAACAGTGAAATGAAACCCTTCTTCTGGCTGAAGATAATGAATTTCCAAACCATAGTTTGAATAGTGAGTCCATGATTTTCAGCATACAACAATTAAACCTTCAAACACTACAAAACTTTGAAGCTTGATCACCTAATTGATTCATAGTAACCTAACCAAACAATCCACGCAAGAGCTGTTCCCTAAGCACTAATCAAACCACCATGTACCTCATTCATATCAAATTAAACACATGAAACACAACTCATAAAAAGCTTAAGATGTCACACATAAAGCTCATTATAACCTGTTCAAAAAACCATCACGCTTCATAAGCTTGCATCACATTTAACATTTTAGTAACAATATTGACTGGAAAATGACATTGATAACCAGCGTTACAACTTAAAGCTGCAATTCAAATTCCTCCAAAACATTCAAATACAATAAGTCATTATCAATACCCGTTCAAGAATCCATCATATCTCATAACAACCATCAATCTAAACACTATAAGAAAGAAAGTGACCAGAAAATGACACCGATCACCAGCATTACAACTTTAAGATGCAATTAAAATTCCTCCATAACTTCATATATGATAAGTCAATTCATTACAATAAGATAAATCCCATTCAAAAGGTCCCCAAAAAAACACAATAAAGTTAAAAACTCGAGCTTTTCTCAAAATCCTTAACATCCTGATGAACAGCGCTCAGCGGAGATAAGCCGGGATCTTAATACGAATGAACAATATACTCATAACATAAGCAATCACAACAAAAGCAACCCCAGCTGAAGCAAACGAAACCTTGACGCTTTTAGCCCGATTTTTGTCCAGAGCCAAGTCCAAAAGCACAATCCCAGTTCCGCCAAGAACAAACATGAACCCGGAGGAGAGCCCTTCGATAATATACTGCCCATTGACCCGACCCGGGAGGAAAACAACAGGTCTAACTGATCCGGTGCGAGGATCCTGAGTAGATCCGATGCCCGGAGGTTCAACGATGACATCGTAGACGAGCCCTGACACGACGAGGAAGTAGGTGAGGAGGATCAAGGCGTAGACGGTCATGGCGGATGGAAGAGTGAAGGATGGGAGCTTTAGACGTAGACGAGGAGGGCGGAGGAAGGAGTAGGGAAGGATTTTGAGGACGTGGAAGAATGGGTCGATGGAGGAGTCGGAAGATTCCATGGCGGAGGAGGAGAGGTTTTGGGGCTCGGATTTTGGAGGCATTGATATTTGATGAAATGCCCGAATGGGATTATTACTGTGCTAGCGTGACTGTGCTGTGGAGTGGTGGGGTTTTGGCGTAGGACCCGAGTGGGGAAGAAGATGGAGTTTAGGAGGCTTTTGAGTTTTGACGTGCTTTTACTTAGGCACGTGCGCCGCACATGTATGATACTATATGGATAAATCTTGGATAAAATATACGAACCCCCTTATGATTTTGCGAAAAAATACCTTACCCCCCTATCATTTAGAAACCTCTACATAAATACCCTAAATTTTATAACTAAAGTGGAAATTGACCTATAACCGGCTGAGAGACCTAGTGATAATGGGTAAGCGAGGTTTTTTTGAAAAAATTTTGAGTTTCATTCCCAAGATACCCTTCAGTTGCTATATTGAAGAGACATATTATGGCAGAAGAGATTTGAAACTATCAAAGAGTGAAAGGAAAAAGGGAGAAGATCTAAGGTATATCGAAATCGCCATGTCCACTTCTGCAAATTTTGGAGGAGGTTTGATAGATCTAAGGTATAAATGGTTTCGGTGCATCTGCAAGAAAAGAGCAAAAATCAAGATCGTGGAATCGAACAAATTCTTAAAAGGCAGGTTGTGTTACATTTGTGAAGATCAATCTTGCTCCTTTTGGACATGGTGCAATCCTTTAAGAAGGGATGGAATGGACAATGAATGTACTAGTCAAAGTCCAGAAACAAGATTAGACGAAAGTTATGGGTTTTCTCCAAGAGTGAACAGTAATAAAGGTATGCTGGCTGTGAACAATGGTGACATTTTGTTCAGGCTACATGCAGAGTTGAACACTGTTGAAGGAACTATGGGGATGTTGAAAGTGATAAGGATTTTGTCCTTTATTGTTTGTTGTTTATCTCTAGTTATTGCTGCTTCTAGAAAATAGTAATTTGGTTAGTGGCAGCATATGACGTACTAAATAATGTAATGATTTTAGTTTATGAAAAAATTCAAATTTTGTCATGGTTTGTATTCCTTAATGAAAGAAAGATAATAATTATACAACTTGTTTACTCATGAACCCTTAGTAATTTGGATAGTCATAATATGATAACCACAATCCAATATATGGTATTACAAAAAAGAGTAATAATGCCAATAATGTCATTACAAAAAAGAGTATCACTTACAAAACATGTTAATCCATTATATAATGTCTGCTCTAAAGATAGCATATATTCCATGACAACTTGTTTACATTGACATAAGTCCTAAAAATAATATCCATAAATTCCTGATTCTTATTTTTCTTAGATCTTTTGGATCAAGAATTGAGGTTGTTATCACTAACTGCAGTAGTGCTGCTTTGCTGAGATACTTGATGCACTGGTGCTTCTCTGGTTGGGGCTAAAGTGGAAGCTATTGTTGCCCTTCGCTGGTTATTGCTTGCTCGAGCATGCAACCAAATAGAAAATTTACTGCTAGAATAATTATCAAGAGTACATAGTGCTGAAAAATTCATGTACTTAAATGTACCTTGTACAACTTGGATTTGGGATGAGGAGGTTCCTTACAAGTTCTCCTATTATGGCCAGCTTTTAAATGTCTTTTACAGTATACTGTCAATCCCTTCTTGGAAGCTCTTTATGGATCTCTCGGTTCATCAGGACCTCTTCTCCTAAGTTTTTTAAGTCTCCCAAGTTGTTTCTTCACAAATAGTCGATTTAACAGCTATATTTCACTATCAATCTAGTGTTCTTTGGATGAAACAGCTCCAATGCTATAAGCATATGCCCTCAAATATGCCTCTTTACTATAGCACTCATCGACATAGTTTTCAACTTTCATCTGCATGTTTTGAATGGCAGAAATAGCATGCACACATGGAATTCCAGTCAACTAGAATGTACCACATGAACAGCTTCTACGTTGCAAGTTCAGAATAGAGGTTCTGTTGAACCTCAAATGATTTAACACCATTAAATATAGCAATACAATGTCTGCTCTTCTCTACCTTTTTGGATAGCTTTTCAACAATGTTTGGACACAATCTGCCTCCCTCCATGCCTTGTCTCTTCAATATCAATCGTTGCATTAACTTTCTTCTGAAAAATTCAAGAAGAGTCACAATTGGCTCGTCTCTTGCTTTTAAAATATAGTTGTTGAAACTCCCATTCAGGTTGTTGACTGAAATATCAGTCTTAGCAGCTATTCCATAATGTGCTCTAGACCCCAAGTGATATGGCAACCTTTTTAACCAAGCTGCAGCAATAGGGTTCTCTCCATTTTGTGGCTAAGCTATCTCCAAAACATTCAATGCTCTCTTGAAATCATCAACATTAGTTGCTGATGTAGTAGCCTAAAACAATTCCCTCAGTTCACTGTCTTTGAACTTTGCATTAAAATTCTCAAATAGATGTTTAAGGCAAAATCTATGTTCTGCACCAGGAAATAGCTCCTCTATAGTATGTACTAGGTCTTTTTGCCTGTTAGAAATGAAAGTATAAGACACTACATGGCCCCTTCGAATATGAGTAATCAGCTCTTTCAAAAACCAAATCCAACTATTATAATTTTCTGTTTCAACAATGACAATGGCTATGGAAAATATATTGCCATTCATATCCCTTCCAAGTGCTACTAACAGCTGACCTCCAAAGAGACCCTTCAAAAAGCAACCATCTATGCCAATAATTGGTCTACAACCTGCAAGAAAACCCTTTTTAAGAGCACCCAACCCATAGAACAGCCTTTGAAATGTTGCCCTTTGCTCAATAGACCTCCTGACTATTTGTATAGCTATATGACTGTTTGGATTTGACTGTTTAACCGTGGCAGCATAATCCCACAGCCGTTCATATTGTTCCATATCACAACCTTTGATTGCCTCCCTGGCCTTCCTTTTAGTCTTGTATGCTTTTTTGCTACTTATATTAATCATGAATCTTCTTTTGGCATCATTAATAATGCCATCCAGGCTACAATTAGGGTCATCTCGGACTTTCTCTTGAAACTTTCTGTTCAGATAAGTTGAGGTTGCATGTTTGTTAGTGTACTCTCTGTTGCAATGGTACTCTCCCTTTGGTATTTTGATCTGAAAAATGTCAGTCCTATTAATTCTGCTTGCATGAATCCTCCAAGAATGTCCTTTTGTACATTTGGTAGTTATCCTCCAATTGTCATTGTTGACATATAAAACTTCATATCCCTCTCTAATGCTCCATTCCACAAGTGCTTCTCTAAATTTTGTAAAATGAATGAATTTCTTCCCAACCTTTAATTCAAATTTTGGCTTGTTAAACTCCACTGTAGCATTGAAATATGAGTATTCAGTCCCATTTTCATCACCAGAATATAAGAAGTCTTCATCTACAGTCACAAGTTCATTCCATTCCTCAGCGTCTCCTCCATGCTGATGTTGTGGTGTGGACTCCTTATCTTCTGGTTCCTGATGTTGTTGCTGCTGCTCATTCAAGTCATCAGTTTGCTGATTTGATTGGTCTCCTCCATGCTGATGTTGTGCTATGGATAAATCATCTTCTGGTTCCTGATGTTGTTGCTGTTGCTCATTCAAGTCATTAGTTTGCTGATTTATTTGAGGTACAGTTGAACCAGCAGTTGCAAAGATGTCCTCATCTTCTGCAAATTCTAGGCCCTCTCTCAATCAATTCAGATTAAGTTCTTTATTTCCATCACTGTGGTGATGTTCTCTGTTTCCATCCGGATCAATTTGCTATTCTCTGTTGACTTGATTTGGTTCTATGTCAGAATTACCCTGCTGCTCTTCTCTATTGACTGTCTGCTTCTTTGTGAAAGTTACCTTAATTTTCCATTCTTCTGCACTTTGGTTCACTGAAGAAACTTCTTGCTGGCTGTCGACAGCATCTATTCTAGTATTCTGCTGAAATAATTTTCTTACAGATTTTCTAGCTACTCTCTTCACACATTGCACCACAATTTGTCTCTTCCTCACTGGAGTTTTATTACCCTTTCTTCTGTTTTTCTTAGTTGTTTCGAAGGGATTTTGTGTGCCATCATTAGTTTCTACATCTGCTGTGCCATCTAAGTCATTTTCTTGCTGTCTTGCATCACCAACATATGGTTCAAAACCAGTCAGATCAATAGGATTTTGTGAAGTTCCAGCAAGATTTCTAATTAGATCTGAATTGATTTCTGAAAAACTTTCATTATACGGTAAAACAAGTGAACCATCATTCGTCACTCTTTCGAATAAAAGCTTGCCATCTGGTGAAACAATTTTGATAGATGTCTGACCTGCCTCTACATATATATGCATATAAGAAAGCCCTTCATAAATGGCAGTCAACAATTCTATGTCCATGTCATCATTTATTGGGTTAACACCTACATCCACATCATGGTCTGGAATGGAATACCAAAATTTTGCACATGCTACTTGTTTTTCAATTTTGGAGTACATGTTCAACAATGAAAATGCTGATAATTCATCAAGGTCGCATTTGTGAAATACTCTCACTAAATCACTTGTATACCTAATCTTGGGATGATGTATAAATCGCCCACCATAGTGCATGTGGATATTCACTGTCCTAAAAAGATCTGACATGGTCCCCAACCTAAATTATTTAATCAACATTTTCAAGAATTCAAATATAGATTAATAAACTATATTAAGTTACATCACACTTTCAGATTATAACAACAATTAGTTATAACAATAATCAAATTATATAGCGAAATCTGATTTAGTAGTCAAATCCAGACCCAACACATATTATTTCCTCCTGACATCAACCACATACTCCAAAAAAGACCCACTTACTCCAAAAAAGCTAAAAAAAGTTAAGAACTTTACATTTTTTAACCCCATTTTTTCTGATAAATCACCTACATATGGACCACCAACTATAAAAATGACAGAAACCTCATAAATTAAGCCCCAATATATAGTGGAAAAGGAATAAACAAATTAGAAAAAGAATACAAATCCTAAACATCAAATGGACTGAATATTGAACAAAAAGCTCTGATTCTTACTTAGAAATGTCGAGCAAGTTTCACGATCAGATACAACCACCAATCTGACCTTCCCTTCTTCGTGACCGAATGCAGCCACGTCGATTCACGATATTTCAGCAACAATT